TCCTTCCCCTTGGGGGGGGGGGGGGGTGTTGGGGGTGTCACCCCATGGACAAGGCATCCCACATGTCCCTTGGCACCGGCGCCTGGCCTGGTCCTGCATGGAGCCAAGACAAGAGCTTAGCTTAGTGTCTCCCCCTCCTGGTGCTTCTCCCTGCAAAGAACCCAGGAGTCCTGCAAGCCAGGGGCATGGGAGCAGGACCCTGGGGACACGACTTTGGGCCAGAAGAGACTCCCAGTAGAGGGGGGAGTAAGATCTGGGGGGCACTAGCAGAGCTGGGAGGGGGGCATGGCACTACCAGGGGCAGGGAGAGCAGCAGAGTAGGGGCAGGAGAGCGGGGTGGGGGGCACCATTAAGGCCATGGGGAGCAGGGGCTGGAGGTACCAGCTGCCCCTGGAGCTGGCCCTCCCTGCCCAGCCTTGGGGCGCTGTGCCCCCAGCACTCCTCCCCTGGGCACTTCCTATCCCTGGCACAACCTTAAGCAATACCAAGCCAACTGGGGGCCAGCACTCCTGGGTCCTTTAGAAAGACCAAGAGGGGGGAAAGGGGCACATCCTGGGTTTTTTCCACAGCGCAGGAAGGAGAGTGGGGCCTCGAGCGAGGGCGCCTGGGTTTGTTTCAGACACGGGACACCACATGGGCGGCATTCAAGACAGAGCTGCAGTGGCCCTAGCCCTTGGGGATTTGGGAGCCGTGGGCCCATGGGGCCCCCAGTTCACTGCAGCCTGTTCCTTTCCCCTGGGGTCACTGTTGTGTGCATGATGCTGCACATGGCTCCTGGTTCAGGGAGACACTTTTGGGGGCCCAGGATGTTTCCTGCCTCTCCCAGCTGGGCCCGTCTCTGCCACGGATCCTGCTGAGCACCAAGGCCATGTGTCCCATCCTAGGACCCATCTGCCAGCACCTTGGGGGCCCTAGCCTGGCCTCCTTGGGCTGTGGAAAGCAGGCACGAGATGTCCACATGGGCCCCCAGCCTGAGCCCCTGTGGGAGCGGGCAGGGCTCAGCGCTAGGGGAAAGCGGACTTGGGCCTGGCCTGCCCTGGCCCTCCCATGGTCCCTGCCCTGCCACTCTCCTGGTACTGTACATAGTGTCACCGCCACCATGGCTCACCCCACGCGCCCCATCCTTGGCCCTCCTCTCCCACCGTGCTGTGCCGTCGTGTCTCCCAGCAGCTCCGCATCCCGACGCCAGCCCACGCGCATGTACCGGCCACGCGCACCGCGAATTAAAGGAACCACATGAGCAACCACCCGAGGCCTGAATGCCGCGTGCCGGCTCTGCCTGCCCCTCCAGCCGGGGGCTTCAAGCTTCCCCAAAGGGAGGCAATGCCAAAAAATGCTTGTTGGTGGAGGGGAGAGCCAGGACACCTGGGACCCGTATCCGTTCCTGGGGAGGGTGCAGGAGGGTCAGCCTGGATCCAGGACCAGAGGGTGATCTACTGGTTTGAAGGGGGTTGGGGGGGTCCTGAGATCCAGGACTCTTGGGTTCCTCCTGGCTCTGGTGGGAGAAGCAATTGTGGCTAGAAAGAGGGACCCCAAGATCTAGGACTCCTGGGTCCTCCCTGCCTATGGGGGAAGGCAGCAAGGGAGGTAATTGGGGCTAGGAGGGGTAGGGGGTCCTGATTCCTGGGTTCTCCCTGGCTATGCGGGGGCAGCAAAACGCATAATTGTGACCAGAAGTGTGTGGAGGGAGGGCAGGGGACTCCTGAGATCCAGGACTCCTGGGGTCTCCCTGGTTCTGGTGGGGGTGAGGGCAGTAATCATGTTTAGGAGGAGGTCCAAGATCCAGGACTCCTGGGGTCTGCACCAGCTCCTGCTGGGGTCCAGCTGGCCCCAGACACTGGGGAGGGGCCCAGCACTCGTGGCTACAACACGGGATGCCTGGGGGCCTGGTTTGCTGGACAGGGAGGGGGCACCCTGCTCCTCTTCTGCAGCAGGTGCCAGGACCGGGAGCATTACGCCCATCAGAGCCCCCGGCAGGATCGTGGTGCCGGCAGCTCAGCCCTGCCTGCCCTGGTGTAGACGAGGCTCCGCAGCTGGCGGGCCGGGGTAAGGAGCAGCGCGGCCTGAGAAGAAGATCCCTTTAATACAGATCCCATGGGCTCCAGCCCGGCCTAGCCAGTGCCCCCCGCCCGGCCCAAGTGCTGGGAGCGGGGCAGCAGCCCCCAGCGTGGAAGGGAGGGCCACAGGGGGCGTCCGTGCAGCTGCCCCACGGCTCAGCGGCAGGCGAAGGTCATGGCCATGCAGGTGGCGACGGGAGCTCGGGAAAGTACCACCGGGGCCATCCCGCCCCATTCGGCACCTGCAGAGAGAGCACGCAGTCAGTGCTGTGGGACAGGACCCCCCCCGGATCCAGGGTACCTCTGCCCACCCCCGGATTTGTCTGCCCACCGCCCCTGGGCACCCTCATCCACTCTCTGCTCCCCAGGACTCCCCAGCTCCTGCACCTAGACCTTCAAGGACCCCCACAAACTCGTACCTACTCGGCCGTCGGCACCTTCTGGCCTATGGAGCCCGTCAACGGGGCGGGTGAGCCTGGTGGCTCCGTGGCCTGGTCCTGCCTAGTCGTGGCCTGGCTCCTGGCCCCCGCTGCGTCTGACAGCTTCTCTGCAAAACCGGCCGGGCAGGAGTATGAGCTTAGCACTGTGCAGGGGCCAACTCCCCCCCTGCCCCCATCGGGGACATAACAGAGCACCCCCAAGCTCCCCTCCGCCATGCCCAGCAGGGCCAGTGTCCCCCCAGGGTCCCAGAGCCCCCTGGTTCTGCAGCCTGGGGGTGACCGGAGATGTGTGGCTGCCCTGAAGGACGTGCCCTGGTGCTCGGGGCTTGTGCCCCCTGCCCTGGCACCTAAGCTGCCCCGTACCCTGCACTTTACTCACTGCCCTCCGGTGCCACCGGGCCTCCCCCCTGGGCTCCCAGCCGGGCCAGGCCTGGGGACAGGGGGCAGGTGCCCCCGGGGCTGTGGCTGTGGTCTGTGTCGCCCTGCGGGCAGCAGGCCGGGCTGGACTGCTCCTGGTTCTTGGCGCCCGGCTCCTCTTCCTCCTCCTGCTGCTGCTTGCATAGGTGATGCTCCACCATCATCTGCAGCTCTGCAAGGGAGACGGGTGCCAGGGGCAGCCTAAAGGGGGTGCTCCTGCCCCCCCGGGCCACCCACACTATCCCCCAGCTCAGACCCCACCAGCCAGAGCCATCCCAGTGCACCCCTCTGCCCCCGGGACCCCCCAAAGTGGGGCTCTGCCCCCATGGCTGGTGAGAGCCAAAGGCAAGGGGCAGAGTGGGGGCAGCTAGACCCCCGCAACCCCGTGCCTGTTATATTAATGCAGGCGCAGGCATTAGGTGCTGCCTCACCTGGAGCCACGGGACGGCTGCCAGGGCGTCATGGCCCATGGCTCCACAGCCACCACCCAGCCCTGAATGCAGGGAGGGGACCCGCAGCAAGTCGCAAACAGGCTCCTGGCAGCTGCAGCATCTCACAGCCAAATATTTAGGCTACGGCTTCCTTTTAAGACCCCTGGCCAAGCCTGCACCAGGCCCCCACGAGGCTTCAGTCCTGGCTCTCAGCACCATCCTTCTTCCCAAGCCCCTTAGTGGCTCTTGCTGCTGCAGCCGGGAAGGACCAGGAAGCCCCAAGTCCAGGCATGTGGGTGTAGTCAGACCCATCTCCTGCAGGGCCAAGGGTCAGGGGAAGGGTCTCTAGGGGGTGCCCACATCCCCAGGCTATGTGCTGGGCACCGAGGTGCAAGGGGGCAACCAGAGTGGCAGGGACCCCATGGCAGGAGCCAGAAAGACTGGATGGCAGGGAGGGAAGGGCCAGGAGCAGCATGCTCATACAGCGCCGAGCGCAGCAGGGCGGGGCCCCGTCTGCCCCTCCCAAGGACCCACCACGGCCCTGGCAATGCAGAGGGGTGGGCAATGCGCTCGGGGCTGTGCATGCACATTGCTCCTGGCTGTATCGGCTCCGATCCCTCCTGGGTCCCCCACTGGCAAACCATCCCTCCAGGATGGGGGCCGTGTCCGCCGAGGTAAGCCCAGCCCGAGCGGGAGTAGAACGGAGTCAGGAGGAGCCGGGGGCACGGGCTGAGCCCGAGAAGGGGGCGAGAAGGCCAGAGCGTGTCCCAGAGGTGCCAGCGTGGGACAGGGTCATGGTGCACCGCGCCGCCATGGCAGGAACAGTACCTTTCATGGTGGGAGTGGTGCGCGAGACCTTCTTCCTCTGCCGCGGAGACATGGACGTGCCCGACTGGAAAGGAAGGAGAGGTGAGTCACTGAGTGCCGGGGGGGGCACAAAGCCCACACCATGGAGCTGGGGGCCTGGCTGTGCTGGGACCTGCTGGCACCTCTGGGCTGGGGGGCACAGCTCTGTCACGGCTGGCACAAAGATCGCATGGCCCAGCGGTCAACCTGAGGACACGGGATCACGCTCTGGGCACCATGGCACTCACTCCTAGCCTCACCCCTCCCCAGAAACACAGTCTACCAGCACCCATACACCCCTTCCCCGCCTCCCGCCCCCAATGGGCACAGCCTCTCATCCCAACACCCGCGTGCTTCTTTCTTTGCATGCCTGTGCATGCACATGTGTGTGCACACTGTTGGACAGTGCTGGAAACCCCCCACCCTGGCCCCAGGGCTCATGCCAGGCTGACCCAGGCACCCAGCACTCTCCTGCCAGCGGGGTGCCCAGGCCTTGCAGGGGGCAGGGAGGTGCCTACCTTCAGCAGGGGGTTAGGGACCCGGTCCTCATCCACCTCTGTGGGGTTAGCATGGAGACAGGTGGGGGGAGAGAAGGAGCGACAGGTTAATAGGGTAGCTGCCACGGTGGGATCTTGTTGCCACAGCAATGCTGGCAGGGGTCTCCCAGCACCCAGGGGCAGCGCCCTGCTCCAGTGCTCCCTGCCCCAGCTCTCACCCTCCCTGGCAGGATAAGGCATGGGGGGAAGTCAGAGGGGACTTCTGCTTCTCTGCACCCCTGGGACCAAGCTGGGATGTCACTGCCATGACAACCCGCCC